TGAGGCTTCTGTAGATGCATATAGCCAGGGGCCATTGCCCCTTACCTGTTTGCTATAATGAATAAAATAGCAAGAAAGAGTAGCTTGGTGGAACACACACACACACACACACACACACACACACACACACACACACAAAACCTGGAGCATCCATTGAAAGAACAAAAGCAATTGGAGCCAGGAAGGGGTGGAAAGAACTTTGACAAGTACCTTCTGCCAGGTATCTCATGTGATTTGGTGAGAAAGCCCAAGACTTGTTTCTGAGTATTTCGAGGTGGACAGAACCCAGCCCCCAGTATAGCAACAGGCTCTAATTAAACACATGATCAGTGTCCGTCTGCCTGACAGTTGATGTTCAGAAACAGGCAAGGCCTCTCCTGAGCTTGTATTAATATGTACAACACTTCACTCACATGCGAAATTGATTTTTCTTTTTAAGCACAAAATGTAGCAGTTTTATAGCCTTTCTGCAGCTTGACAAAAGGCCATTTATAACCTAGTTTCTCCATCACCCTTGCTGGCACCATTCTCAAATGTCTCAAAGAACTCTCTTGTGCATTTGTAATTACAAATCATACTCAGGCAAAATTTAATTTCCAAGAGAGCTGACCTCCTTTTTTTTTATTGCTGTGGTTTATGGAAATTAATATGGATGTGTGTGTTGTTGTTCCTATAATTTTAGGATCATGGGGAGGAGACTGTAGAGCTGTCAGGGGAGGTAAGGAGGGGGTATTTTAATCAGTGATGTCTATTGATGGATGCAGAGGGCTGAGCTCTGGGTGTTATCTTAGTGGAAATGACAGCAAGGTGACTGAAATTAAAACCTGGTTCTTTGTTCAAAAGGCAAGGGCATTGGAATTGCTTCTCCATCAGCAGATCTACAGATGAGCTTAGCACACCCAGTGATGGGAATTAATAGACAGGTGAACTTCAACACAAGATTTCCCATTCTCAGAGATTCAGAGTGACAAGACACATAGAAAATGTGTCACAGCTGAGGTCCTAGAAAGTGTGGACCTCTGTGGTTTGCTTAGGGCTGAGAGTTCCATGCATGAATGTATACATGCCTGACAGAGGATTTGCAAACAGTCTGTAGAGGACTTCTATCACCAGCTTAAGGAAAATTCAAGCATTTGCAGACTCATTTACTTACAGATGCCGAGGCATGGTGCTATTTAGGAATATCATTTCAGTGGCTATATAGAAGACAATGTAGAGAAGCCAGACTAGTTAGAAGTCTCCCCACACTGCAGTGAGTAGGTGAGTAAAAGTTGATCACTTAGGGTTCCAGGGACAAGGGTGGGAAAGAGATCAAGTTAACATAGAAAGGTAATACACATTTTTGGGGTACCAATTATGTGACCGATTCTGAGAGGTATGCATTTGTGCTTATGCTTCACATTTAAGCTTCACAGCTATTCTATAGTTACACTATGTCCACTTTATAGACAACAACACTGAAACTCAGAGAGGGTAGTAATTTGCCTAAGGCCACACAGTGAGAGGAGCTGGAGTTTAAACTCATATTATTAGACTTTGGTTTGTTGTTGTTTTAATGCACCTAGAAGCCTTTCTAGGTGACTATTATAGCAGGAGCCCTGGTTCGGGCAATAATCATAAAAACAGTGAAGATGACCCTAGCACTGTCGCCATGAATGACATTTACAATATGTTTCTGTGAAGTCTGTGTTCTAAGCATTTTAACAACAGTATGCCCCTTCAGTTTCGTAATTCAGTGAAGACGATGACCACAAACGTTCTATTTACTGTGAGGTATGTTGAGGTTAGAGAAGTAAAGAATGTCATCCCAGGCCCTACTTTTCAAATAAGACGCTGGTCCCCATCTGTGGGTGAGGAGAGAGATGGACCCTGCCACCTCCTGCATTATAACCACCCTGTTGTCTTCTCTCCAAACAGTGTCCTGAGGAACTGAAGCCCATGAAGGATGGCTCAGGCTGCTATGATCACTCCAAGGGCATCGACTGCTCTGATGGCTTTAATGGAGGGTGTGAGCAGCTTTGCCTGCAACAGACACAGCCTCTGCCCTATGATGCCACCTCCAGCACCATCTTCATGTTCTGTGGGTGAGTCTCCATCTCTGAGGTCCAGGAACTCCCACATAGCTGCAGGGATTCCGTGGACAAATGCTCGGGAAATACTACCTGACCAGGCTAGGGCTGACTGTCAGGGGCATAGCCTTTTACTCATTTTGATTCATACCCTTTTGGGTGTGCAAAAAAAGAATGGATAAGAAAACAAACAATGAGTGAGGAGCACATGCACTCATCTCTAAGCCTCTTCCTAAGGTGTAGATTAGATATTGTCCCATTCTGGTCCATGTCCCTGATCTTTCTCTGTCTTTCTTGCATCCCCATCAACGTATGTACAGACAGATTCAGGGATGTGAAGGTGTATGTATAAGTACACACATTGGCTCTGCCAGGTTGCAAACTAGACCCTGTGGGAACTCAGCAGTTTAGCTTTACTATTTGGCCTCTCTGGGTCCCATGTCCATCTAGGTCAGGACAACTAGCTGGGGAGTGGTACATCTAAAACCAATCACACAGGTAGAGTTTCTAGACAGCTTCTGGCTCCTGACGAGTTCAAGCCCAGGTGTTTTTGTTACTATTTTTATTTTTATTTTTCCTTTTTTATTGGTTGGAGAAGGCTTGGGATTGAGCCCAGGGCCTTTCACATGCCAGGCAAGTGCTACTTGCCTGAGCTACATCCCCAGCCAAACAAAACAAGTTTAGAAATCAGTGTGAGAAATGAAGAGGAGAACATATTCAGATCAGTTCCCCATGGCCTCTGTTCTCTCTCTGGGCTTCAGCTTACCAACCTGTGAAAGATGCTTATTCTCACACACAGGGGCCGATGATGTTTCTTCCAAGTGACCCTGTAGATGATACTTGTACCACCTCAGTGACTAGAGTGGTGTTTGGTCCTCAGTAAGCTCTCAAGAAAATAACAACATTTTTGTTTTACTTCTCCTACTTATTCTGTCTCGGATTTGCTCATCTTTGGCTGTCACTCAAAAGAGTCCTGTGATCCCTGCGAGAAGTGTACCAGACTTTCTCATTTCTAAGCAGAGCAGAAAAAGAGACTTAGCAACCTTTACAGTCCTATGCACCCCCCTCTTCCCCCCCAAAAAAATGGTGGGAGCAAGCATGGATTTAGTCCCAGTTTCCCAAAAAATCAATTTAACTTTCATGGTTCTAGTACAGAGTGAAGTACTTATTTCAGGGTCTCCTTTCCTGACCCTTTCAAACTCGGGGCTGCCGGTGCCTTCAAGCAGGTGTTGAAGCAGCTCGCTGGAGGCCTTAGATATGTATCGATAAAATAAATAAGAAATAAATTAGCGTATGCAGACCTGAATTTATGGCAGTCTCTCCTCAGCTTAAGTGACTGCAGGGCAATGTTGAGTAAATTATGCATGGATTCAGATCTGCAGGCTTGCATACGGAATCAGCTGTGTTCTTATCATCGTTATTTTCCTCGCTATGCACTTTGTGGGAGGGAGGGTGTTCTGCAGAAAATAACAACAGACACAGCAGCAGCCACAGGAGTAATGGATTTTGACATCAGAAACTATCACTGCCTTCTACCCAGTGTGCACTGCAGGGCACCTTAGAGTCAATAGACAGCTACTAGTCCCAGGACTACCTCTGTCCCTTAGGCAGTAGCCTCCCAGGACTCCTGACCTTCTGTGTCTGTAAAATGTTGATAATACCTGTCTCAACCTAAAGATGGTTGTGGAGAGTACAAAGTACTGTCTGTTTTACTGTCCTGTTAAGTAACACATTCAAGGCAATAGCACTGGTAATGTAGCTTGTGGCCTCCTAACTGGGTGACCTTTGGCATTTGATTTAACATTGCTTAACTCTGAGCCTCAGTTTCCTCCTCTGTAGCATAGGCATAATATGTGAAGGGATATTATAGGGAATGATGCTTTGCCTACACCACATTTGTGTGCGTACCAAAAGAGCTTTGGAGCTACATACCGAGCGGAGCAATGTAACCACACGATGTGGCCTGGTGACAGCTGCTCGCCTCTTCCTGATGACATGATGCCCTCCACTTTGCTTGGCTGGTCTGTGAAACTGGACTTGCTGACCTTTTGTACCATGAAATTTCTGTGAAAGTGTTAAACAAGATTGGATTAGCGCATGGGTGAGCGGTTAGAGCCCCTTCACTGTTGGTAAACAGAACAGAAAAGGAAATGGAACGCAGGCTTCTGAAAGCCAACTGTAGCTTCCACATGTTTGGGAAATTGTCTATTAAAGATGCAAATGAGAAGTTACCCACACTTGTTAGGAGCACTGTAAACAATGAAGGCTATTAGCAGGTGCTTGCGAGAGAGCTGGCTGAGAGAGAAGTAAGGTGCTGTTGAATTAAGCAGGGTAAACAAAACAGACCCTCCCTTGCTCAACTCCTCATAAAGCTCTATGACCTTTCTAAGGTCGGATGGGAGGAGGCTGAATAAATCTGTTTGCAGGCAGGTTAATAACAGAAGCTAATGATTCATTAAGTACTTCTTACGTGTCGTGACTGCTCTAAGTGACTGCCCTCTTAATGTTCATGACAGCTCTGCAAGAAAGGGGCAGTTATGATTTCTACTTTACTGATTAGAAGACCAAGCACAGAGTGCCCAGGCTCAGTGGCTTGCCCAAGGTCACGGAGCTGGTAATTGGTGGGCATAGGAATTCCAGCCCCGGCTGTGGGACTTCAGTTTTAGGCCAGACAGACCTGCTAATAGTTGCCAGCCTCTGAATATATCCGGTCACGGGATCTTGGTGAAATGACTGAGTCTCTCTGAGCCTTTGCTCTTTCACGTAGGATCAGAAGTAACTGTTCACAACTGTGGGGATTAAGTGTGATTATGCAGGCAGGGAGATTGGCATGTGGAATGAAGCATTTCAGTAAGCTGTATAGTTATTAGTTTAATAGGTAGAAAGCCATAGCATTTAAGTGTTCAGTTATTGAATTTCTGTTTGTTTGTTTTGGGGGCCAACAATCGCCAGCTGCCGAGGGACCAAAAAATCAGGCTTCTGAAGTCCCTTGATATCAGTTCTGCAGGCAGAGCAATCAAGTTGCCCTACGTGTGCCACTCCTGACAGAAGCCCCTTTTTCAATAACTGAATTTTATATTGTGCTTCCTACTCTGTATCCAGTACCCAGAATAGAACCTAGCACACAGGAGGTGCTCAACTTGTAATAATTTTTAAAATGTCTTCACTTAATGTAAGTCAGTGTAAGGCATTGCTGGTCTGGAGTAATTCCGTTAATATCTGCAACCCCTCTTCTCCCTGTACCCAGCAGCCCCTCTTCCCCCTGTACCCAGCAGCCCCTCTTCCCCCTGTACCCAGCAGCCCCTCTTCCCCCTGTACCCAGCAGCCCCTCTTCTCTCTGTACCCAGCAGCCCCTCTTCTCCCTGTACCCAGCAGCCCCTCTTCTCCCTGTACCCAGCAGCCCCTCTTCTCCCTGTACCCAGCAGCCCCTCTTCTCCCTGTACCCAGCAGCCCCTCTTCCCCCTGTACCCAGCAGCCCCTCTTCTCCCTGTACCCAGCAGCCCCTCTTCTCCCTGTACCCAGCAGCCCCTCTTCTCCCTGTACCCAGCAGCCCCTCTTCTCCCTGTACCCAGCAGGCCCTCTTCCCCCTGTACCCAGCAGGCCCTCTTCCCCCTGTACCCAGCAGCCCCTCTTCTCTCTGTACCCAGCAGCCCCTCTTCTCCCTGTACCCAGCAGCCCCTCTTCTCCCTGTACCCAGCAGCCCCTCTTCTCCCTGTACCCAGCAGCCCCTCTTCCCCCTGTACCCAGCAGCCCCTCTTCTCCCTGTACCCAACAGCCCCTCTTCTCCCTGTACCCAGCAGCCCCTCTTCTCCCTGTACCCAACTCATCCCATTTGTCTTCCTGGTCCTTTAGCCTGGACACCTCTTTGTCACCTTCTAGTCTGTTTGTTTGTTGAGAGAGAGGGGGTTTCTTTGTGTAACCCTAGCTGTCCTGAAACTCACTCTGTAGATCAGGCTGGTCTTGAACTCAGAGATCCACCTGTCTCTGCCTCCTGAGTGTTAGGATTAAAGGCATGTGATACCATCACCTACATTCTATTCTTAAGGCAAGCAATATCTTTTTCAGCAAGTTCTCCTGAACATCATGGGAGTCTTGTGAATGAGTTGTGTTATTACCTCAGTGCTGGGTAATAATATCAAGGCTTTCAAATAAAGACTGCTTAAATTATGGCTCAATATTTACTAAGTGGGATTAGAGGACATATAGAAAGGATTTTTTTCTCTTTGTCATTCTTATGTTCATGTGTCTAATATATTATATGCATATGTATAATTATGGGGAATGACATACTGAATGAAACATTCAATAAGCTATATAGTTAATAACCTGTTTTTTTTTTCATTTCTTCCCTTCCTCTGATTAAGGAGAGAATACTTACATGTGCCTGTAATTCATTTTTAGGAGTAGGGGAGGGGATTGAGGCAGGATCTCATGGAACTCAGGCTGGCTTTGGACTGACTGTGTAGCTAGAGATAACCTTAAACTCCTGATCTTCCTTGCTTCCACCTCCCAAGCATTGGATTACCATCATGCACCACCATACCTACCATTTGTGGCTAATCTAATTTTACTCATGATGTCTGGATGAATCTTACAGACTGGCTCTCTGGTTAACTACCCACATTGCCAGTCTCTTGCCAGATGACACATCCTGCCACATTTTTTCTACCTTTTGGAACTCCACTGAATTCCTGACTTCCATGTTTTACTTGTAATACCACATATCCTTTAAGAAAAGAAGCTATTTCTTAGCCACCTAGGTGTCTGTCTTAGTCACTGTTCTATTGCTGTGAATAGACAACAAGACCAAGACAACTCTTATGAAATAAAGCCTTTAACTGGAGACTTCTGTACAGTTTCAGAGAATTAGTCCAGTATCATCATGGCAGAGAGCATGGCAGCAGATGGGCTTGGTGCTGGAGAAGTAGCTGAGAACTGCATCCTGATCCGTAAGCAGAGAGAGATTGGATCTGGCATGGGCTTAAAGCCTATGCCCGGTGACACATTTCCTCCCACAAGGCCACACCTACACCAGCAAGGGCACACCTACTAGAGCAAGGTTACACCTCCTAATCCTTCTCAAGTAGTGCAGCTCTGATGACTAGACATTCAAATATATAAACCTGTGGGAGACATTCTAATTCAAACCTCCATGGTGTTTGTGCTACCATTTTCTACTGCTTGACCCCCAAGGGCTTCTTCAGAGCATTAACACCTGAATGAAAGAATTTGCTTACCTTGAGTTTGTTGCATCCTCTCTATGTTTGGGATTTTATGAGATGCTAACAATGTAGTGAAGCACTGATCTGATCACAGGTTCTTGTCCACAAAGGACAAAGAGGATACTGAGAGCAGGTTGCTGAGCCTTCCCTCCATCCTTATGGATGGGAGCAGAGGCCAGGTAACCAGTGTGGCTGACAGAAGCTTTGGGGTAGGTTGTGAAGTCACTGGACACTAAGCTGAAGCATTTAGATTGAATTTTATAGATGGGGAGGCACTGCCTTCTGTGAAGACCCCAGCAAGTTGCCTAGCAACCGAATTTATCTGCTGTGTTTGTGTGGGTGTGTTTACAATGTCTACCACACACATTTCCAAGAGAACTTAATTTTATCCACATAAATCTGATGCATTTTTGTAAGTTGCTAATATAAAGATAGGGTTAGGCAGCAGTATGTATAAGAAAGAAAGGGGAAAAGAGAAAATAGTGTTGGGAGTCTGAAATAAGAAAGTCACTCAACAGAATAAATTTAGCTTTGTGATTCTTGGCAATGAAAGTAAACAGTTATGAAAACAATCCAGTAGATTATGTAGTTGTCTTTACTTGAGAAAAAGATTCTGTTGTTTGTTTTTAATGTGTTTTGGGAGGTGTGTAGTTTCTTGGTGTTATTAACTAAGACATTTACCCACTTGTTCCCATGTAAACAATGGTGAAAATTTTATCAACAGTTTTGGAGTTTCCTTATTTCTCAGGGTGATTAGAAAGAAAACCAAGGCTCACAGTCACCTGAACTACTCTTTGGAGGAAAAGTCAGGAGTTTGAACCTTCCCAAGTATTTCTCAGCTCCAGCTCCAATGAAGATGTATTCACAGGATGGCAAGATAGCTCAGCAATTAAGAGCACTTGTTGCTCCTCTAAAGGATCCAGGTTCAGTTCCCAGTAACCACATGGTATCTTGCAGCCATTTATAACTCCAGTTCCAGGAGATCTGATGTTTTTTCTGACCTTCATGCACATCAGTCACACGTATTTTTTAAGGTCATACATGCAGAAAACCACTCAGACATATAAGATAAATATATCTTAAAAATTGTTTTAAAAGAAAGTGTATTTACACACATGGGCTCAGAAACATGCCATCCTCAAATCATCCTAATTGTCCCTTGGGTTGAATGTTCTGATTAGATGATTTGGGGAGAGAGAGGAGACAAATGCACTTGACTATTATCTCTAGCTAATCGGAATTCCTGATTCTCATTCCCCAAACTAATGTCTGTTCTAGATTTAGACAATACTGAACTAGGGAGTAGAGACACTGGATATGATTTTAAGCATTAATAAACTGTGGGTAGAGACATCCCCTCAAGCACTTGTTTTGTGGCACTTTCTTCCTGATGGGCTAGAACCAGACCTCTCTCCCTTTGTGTCTGAGCTAAAGGATGTCGACTCTACCTCTAGTAGTGTTAGATACTCTTCTTAGTGCTCTGACAGAGTACCAGACAAGAAGCAACTGCAGAGCAGAAGGGTTTATTATGGCTCTAACTTTAAGAGATACAGTCCATCCTTGATGAGAAGCCTTGGTGGCAGGAGCTGGAGGCAGCTGGTCACATTGCATCCACAGACAGGAAGCAGATAATGAACAGGAATGAGGGGGGGCAGGCTATTTAAGGTTCCAGAGCCTTCCCAAACAGCACCTCCAGCTGGAGACCAACTGTTCAAATACATGAGCCCATAGGGGACATTTCACATTCGACTCACACTACTGAGTTAATACTGGATGCCTACATACTAGAGAGACATTTTAGTGCTGAAGACGAAATCTAAGGTCTCAGCAAGTTAGACAACTGAGCTATATTTTAATACCTAAATGCCAGATTATTATCAAACATTATAGCACTGTGCTGTTCATTAAGCATTTTCAAATTATCAGCAAATTGAAGGAAACACATAGTCTGCCCATGGGTTTTGAAAGGCACTTTCTTATAAGTCATAGGGAATGCTGGTCCTGAAAAATGGTTACAAAACATGAAACAGTTGAGTGTGAGGCTCAAAAAGGGAAGTCTGTCCTTCAGGTTCCCAGTGTATTTGGCAGTGGTCAAGGCTATGATGAGTTCTGTTGCAGAGAAATATCTGTTTAATGTAAAATACACACATTTCCATATTTTATAGAATTAAAATTAAAATAACTTTTTACCAATGGTTTTGACAGAGTTGAAACAATATTCTTTTTTTTCTCTTCCCTAGTGTGAAATGCTAGTGTTTCTTATAATTGTAGCTAATAGATAAAGTCTACTATTTAATTAACCTGGAATGTTCTGTGGAAACTGTCATCCTTCCCTTCCTCCTTCCCCTCTTCCCCTCAGTAACCTTCCAACTCCCTTCTTCCCCGTCCCTGGCTCCTCTCTTCTCCTTTTCCTTCTCTTTCCTTGGCTTTCTTTCTTTTTTTCCCAAAAGGACTTCAGTGCATTACTTCAAAAATATTTTTTGTACAAACTTCCTTTCTTCTTGAAGTAAAACCTTCGGATCCAGACTATATGGAGAAGAACTTTACAGGTCTTCCTTTTGATGAACATTGGATCAACTCTGAGACTCCCAATAAGAGAGGCTCCTGTAACACTAACTAGTGGGAATAGGACTGTTGAGGTCCGAAACTACTGGCCCTGCAGAGTCAGCTAAAAAGAGCCTGCTCCTCTGTTGCCATCATCATCAGATTCTAAGTTCATTCCCATATTGGTCCAAGTCTCTGGTGTGCATTTCCTTCAGTTCCATTTAGCTTTAACTTTTCTTTATTTTCCATCTTTCTGTAAGGATTTGGTTCCCTTCTTCATTTTAAGAAATACT